TATATATATATATATATATATATATATATATATATATAATAAAACAGAATTGAAAAAAAAATGTTTTTTATGCTCTCCTTATTTCGAAAATATAACGAAAACAGCAACATTTAGTGTTCTTACGCAGATTTTACATTATAAACGACACAATTGGCCTTCAATAGAAATGATACTAGATATGACGTCACTAATATCTAAAATACTATCTTCATAATGTTAAACCATGGAGGAAATACATTATATATATTTCTTTCATGGTTAACCCGAGTTCCCCAACTCAGCAGACCTTCCAATATCTTTTTAGATGAAACGAGGTATCTGTTAGTGCTAGAATTATGATGGGTCGATGGTATCCAAAATCCAAATACTCAATGTCATATACTATAGTAAGGTAGACCTCCACAATTACAGTCGGTAAAAAATATATTTTTCTAGTATACTACTGGGCCTAATCAGTTTATTTTTAATAATATTAAATGATGTAGGCAAATTAATAATATGCATGAAGCGTACAAAACAGGACTAACACGGCACGATTGCTTTGAAATCACCGTCAAACCGATTGTGTCATTGTCAAAATAGAGCGGTCGCTTACACTTCAGCTATGCTAGGTCTTAGATATGCAGGTTAGAGGTATGCAAACATTTTTTATTTGTATTATTCATAAATTAGTATAGTCTACTACTATAGTAGTATAGTGTTCATAGATGTATAGTCCAAAACAAAAGCAGGTCGACGACTACTATAGGCATAAGTTAGTTCACCATGGATAAACCTAACCTATTGATGTTTGGAATTCATTGAGATCGTAGTCCTACGTACTTGGAAGAAACTTCAACTTGTGTTGTGTACATTACAAAAATGTTGAAGGCATATTGCGTGTAGCGTGATGCCTATCAGATAACTAATAACTAATAATTTACTCAAATCTGTAGAATATCCGTAGCTTCATGGAGATTCGCCCACACCGGTGGCCCTTGATGCCCCCTGGCCACAGGGTGTGGGTGTGTGTGTGTGTGTGTTTGAGGGAGGTGTTTGCAAACAAATAGATAAATAATAATAAAACTGCACATAAGATGTTATGGTATCAAACATCAGTTATACCATACAGACCCAAGCGGCCTTCGGACCTGAACGATCCAACCTGGGGATGCATAGTTCGAATGTAATAAATATAGGCTACTGTATATACTGTGTTTACTGTCTACCAGTTTCAAATGGCATGACCAATTCTTTGAACAAACATAAGCCACGGCAATGGGATCTCCTTTATCCCCAGTTATTGCAAACATCTTCCTTGAAGAATTCGATGACACATTCATCACATTAGGATTAGTTTGACCATAGAGGACCACCCGGTTGGTCAAAATTGCCTTTGCGTACTATTTGATAATCCCCTTATCGCGTCGAAGCGTATTCAATGGCTGGTCATTAAAACGTGCGAAATGGACCATTGTAAAGTAGGGGTATATTCTTTGTGTGAAGGTAGAAAAAGTAGTAGGTGCAGGCTCATGGTATTTTATAATCAACAAAAAGTTAATATTAATATTTTATTTCAGTAGGTATACATTTTTTTTAACAGTGCACAAATATACCTATTGCAGGTGCTTCTACCACACACTTGAATGACCCATTAAAAATGGTATTCTGATTATCAGACCTGAAACCGGAGCTCCGCCGAGGAGAATCTGTGGGTCTAGCAGAATATCGTCATTTATATACTGTCATAACTACCATGTTTGTTATGTAAATATATTTTAAAATATATATTACGTTTACCTACACATGTACAAACTAAAAATCAAATAATATTTCAAGATAAAACAAATAACATTCTAACGTTAAGCCCCTTCTGCTCGAAAAGACGGTCGAATATTCTAAACTAAACCACTGGCTTCTAAACTAATTTGGTATTGGTTGATTTTTACATAAATAAAAGGTCAGACGTCGTTTATTAACCAATTATAAAGCTACATGTTGTCACAACAGTGGCGAAAATCGGCCCAATATCAGTAGAGATGCTACATAAAAACTTCGGGCGATTCTCCACATTTGTTCTGTTTTACACAGGAAAATTTGGAAAACCACGCTTACAAAATTAAAAAATCCGTCGAGATCTGGAAACTTTATGGATTAAAATAAAACTATTATTAAATTTGGAAAAGGATAAAAGGACAATGGTGAAAATCTAAGAAGTAGAAGTGGAGTAATGTGCGAGAAAATAGCGAATATAGCTGAAAACGTTTTTGAATTAAATTAAATGAATTAGCGACAATCAAACTTATCCTAAGTTTGGCAGCACAGTAAGGTGTACCATAGTTTTCTAGATCACCTAAAGTCTCAGCACAAAGCAATCATGTTTACCATGGAAGAGGAACACAATCGTTCTTTACCTTTTCTTGATGTTTTGTCACCTTTTCTTGATTTTGTCACCTGGTAGACTACAAAGATGTTATCACATTCAGTCTATCACAAACCAACTCACACCGACAGATTCAAACAAACGCTCGTTTCACTAAGAATGGAGTTTGCAACACACTTATCAGAAGAGCATCAGTGACCGCAACTTTATCCAGAAAGAAGTGCAGCATGATAAGAAAGCCCTGAAACTGAACGGTTATCACATGAGAGATTTCAAAATATCCAAACTCAGCAATAGCCAAGATACGGAATCCAGAAAGTCTGTATGTTTACCATATTTGGGACAGCTTTCACACCGTATTTAATGCATTCTACAAGCAGATATTAATGTGTTTCATAGTTCACCCAACATATTATCTGGGACTCTTCAAATACATAAGGATAAACCACCAGCACAGAGCCAGTCAGGAGTTTATCGGATTCCATGTGAATGTGGAAAGGTTTACATTGGTAAAACACGACGTGATCTCGGTACAGGCTCAAGGAACACCAATGCCATGCGCCTAAGAGAGGGGAACAACAAAAGTCATCTATAGTCATGCATTCCCACAAAGAACAACATCGTGTACGTTGGAATAAATCTGAACTGATAGCCACTGTACCATCTTGCGAACTAGAGAAGCTATAGAAATTCACAAACATGATACAGTACATCAAGATATCAGATTTGTAATCAGCGATATTTGGTTGTCCATGTTTAATCAGACCTAAACCAATGCAACTTTTCCTGACACACTGGAAACCATGACATTGTTTTGGTCTTATGTTCACCAGTTAGAACAATGCCACTGTTTTTCCTTCCAGCCACGCCCCATCCTTTTGCATTAGCCTTTTCACGCGTAGTCTCAGCTATTGTTTAGTTTTCATCATCCATGATGTCCTTTATTCGAACACTGTATTTACCTTTCTTTGATGGTTGTAATATATGAAATATATGATTGTATATACATAATATGTATACACACACACACACACACACACACACACACACACACACATATATATATATATATAT